GTTACGAGAGCACACACAGCTCTGAAAGCATGAGTTCCTGGGTTGGGATCCCAGCACCCACACGTGCCTGTAATCCCAGTGCTCAGGAGGCAGAGACAGAGCTCCCTGAATCAGTGAGCTCAGGTTCAGGGAGAGGACCCTGTCTCAGAAGAGGCTGAAGGCTGGAGAGGTGGTTTAGCAGTTTAGAGGATGCTGGCTGCTCTTCCAGAGGATCCAGGGTTGTAACATGAAAAAAATAAATGACTTAGAGACAGATACTGGGGTTCAAACTGAAGATCAGGGAAGCAAAGCAGCTGGTCACTGAGTCTGACCTCTAGCTCAGGCTGAAAGGGCTGATCCACGCACGAACTCTTCACCAAGTCTCAAACTGCTGCCTCTCCTCTGCGTGGCTGGAGAATGAATGCCTCTCTGAGACCTTGCTCCTGTCTTATCTGTTTCCCTAATGTTGGGATTAAAGGTGTGAGCTACAATTCTCTTTTAGATTGATTCACTCTTGTGTAGATCTGGGTGGCCTTGAACTCACAGAGATCCATCTGTCTCTTAATTTGAGCTTTAGGATTAAAGGTGTGTGCCTGGCTTCTGGCTGCTGGGATTAAAAGTGTGTGCCTGGCTTCTGTGGTTTGTGACTGACTTTGCTTTCTGACTCCTCAGGCAAGCTTTAATAGATCATAAACAATATATCACTACACAGGGTCAGTTCCTAGAACCCTCATGACAGACTCCATTCTCAAGGGGTGTGTCCCCTCCTTCTGGACTTCACAGGCACTGCATACATTTATATACATACAGGCAAAACACGCATGCACATAAATACCAAATCTTGAAAAAGTGGGGATGTGATAGGGGAAGACAAGCAATGTTGACCCCTGGTTTCCATGTGCGTGTATACCCACATACCGACACGCACACACACTAACACATATCAAACATGGGAGAAAAGGTCATAGTGAAAGCTGGTTTGAAAATGGATCTTCTGTCAGTTAAAAACTAATTTGAAAAAAATTAGTAAGAAACTTTTACACAGTATGATAAAGAATTATTGAATGGGAAACATTTTGCCCTTCAAGTGTGTCACGTTCTAGAATTTAAAAATAGTAGTAACATATTCCTTAAGTAAGAACTTAGGAATAGAAAGAAAATCCCTTCCTGACAGCTAGGTTGAAGGACCAGAGTGTGATGATCTGTTTCTATGGTGCTGCAGTTGGTATCCAGGGCCTCTGTGGCGGCTACACAGGTGATTTTCCACTGAGCTGCTTCCTGGTTACCCCTGGAGGTCTGGAGTGCACTGTGATCCTTCCGCCTCTCCTGGGATGACACACGCCAGGAGCCACCACGCCTGACTACAAAGGCCTCCACTTGTGCTGACTAGTGTTTCTGACTAACCTGTTTTTCTTTCCTGCTTGGCTTTACTAGCAACTTCCTGCTCAGCTAAGGAGCAGGGTGACTAGCCAGGATGTTTGCCAGGGCTGCCCTGCTCTGTGCCTGTCATTCTGCTGTAGTCATCAGTGACATCATCAGTGATACCTCCTTTTACCAAAGAGGACACCGTATCCTCTGACCACCCTGTTTTTAAAGCCTTTCCCTTTTTTTTTTAACCCCCTTTCTTATCTTTGACTTCTACAGCATTTTAATTTTGGGGTTTATGTTCATGTATATATTTGGTGGCTGTGGCTTTTAGGTTTGTGTGTGTAGGTGTGTGTTGGCCAGAGGTTGACCTTGTTTTCCTTGATCACACTCCATCCCATTTATTTAAATTTATTTTTATTTTATGCATATGGACGTTTTGCCTGCATGTATGTCCATCATATATGTGTGGTGCCCTTGGAAGCCAGACAAGCCCAGAAGTCTGGAGCTGGAGTTACAGACAGTGGGTGCTGGGAATTGGAACCCAGGCAGCCAGTGTGTGTAACCGCTGAGCCTCTCTCCAGCCCCACCATCGTCAGCCTTTTTTCCTGTCTCCACATAGGCCAGTCTGGCAGCTGCTTGCATTAATTGGTTTGTTGGTTTGGTTTTTCGAAATAGGATCTCTTTGTGTAGCTCTGGCTGTCATGGAATTCCTACAGACCAGGCTGGCCTTGAACTCATAGAGATGCGCTTGCTTCTGCCTCCCAAGTGCTAGGATTAAAGGCACGCGCCACCACCACCCAGCACACTGTTTTTGCAGTGTGTAGGGCATAAATCCATATGAGAATATGAAAAACCTTGATTCTCTTTTTAGATCAAATAAAATAAAAACCCACACAAGCCAGGACTGTGGTGGCCCATGCCTTTAACTTGGGAGGCAGAGGCGGTAGGTCTCCGTGAGTTCGAGGACAGCCTCCAAAGCTACAGAGAAACCCTGTCTCAAAAAAAAAAAACAAAAAACAAAAAACAAAAAACAGTTTTGTTGCAGGGCCTTCTTACAGGCTCATCCTTAGAACTCTGCAAACTTCAAAATGTGGAGGAAAGATTGATCTGCTGTTGAGGTCTCATGTATTCACTGGATCCCCCCTTTCTCTGAGAGCCTCCTGGTTAGTTTATGACCTGTTATGGTGGCCGTGCATGTTCATTCCTCCTTGTCCTAATTTGTTCTTCCGTCCAATGCCTCTCTCACTCTCAGCTCTCTCAATCTTCATTTCCTTTCAAGCTCATTCAGCACCGTTTAGTCTAAGGACCTGTGTGAGCCCCCACCCCCCTCCCCTTTGCTGCTTCCTTAGCGAATCCATCTTACTTGTCTACTTGGTGTCTGAGGCCCGTGGGCTGTTGTGGTCCTTTTCCTCCAAGGCGAGAGAGACCCTTGTGTGGTTGGTGCTAGATAGTGTTGCTTGGGTTTGAAAAGTTGGAAGGAAAATAAGAACGGAGGGTGGGCAGAGCAGGCCATGGCTCCTGGACCTGGCAGACTGGCCCTGCACTGCTCACAGTGGCTTCCCTGCAGTAGCCGCCTGCATCATCACCACGCTGCATGGCTTGCAACTGGCGTCATCCTCAGCTTTCAGGCTCTTCAGCACCAGGGAGACAGTTTTCGGCTGTAATGGTGCCTGTTGCTCTCTGGGCTGCCTCTTCTCTGCAGCCTTTCAGGCTTCCTCCTGCTCACCCCCTCTTCTCCTCCTCCTCCTCC